GATAGATAGATAGATAGATAGATAGATAGATAGATAGATAGATAGATAGATAGATAGATAGATAGATATAGATATACATATACATATATATATGTGTGTATATGTGTACATATATACACATCTCATGAATTTATAAAAACATCAGAATTTTGTTCTCATCCTTGTTCTCCACTACAGGCCTCCCTAAGTCTCTGATCAGCTGTCAGCAGGACAGGTCAAAAAGTAGGGCAAACAATGAGAAGGGCCCTCATCTTTTTAACAGACCCCAAAGTTCTAGAGGGCAGAACCGGTTTTAGCTAGCTCTAAGTAGTACAAAGGGCACGGGCTTTTGGATGATGAGGGATGTGGGGGAGGGGGGCATGTCAAGGGGACATGGGATGGGTGGATGTATAAGATTGTAACCTGGAAAGGAACGGCCCAATCTGGGCCTGGAAGGGAGTCTCGACGTTCTAATAATATAAAACTTTTTCTCACTTCTGTATTTGGCGCAATCTCTTCCGTGTGGTTTGCCCAGTTCTCCCAAGAACCGTCAAATAAATGATTCTTCACTCAAAAAAAAAAAAAGCAGGGCAAAGAATGATATCTTTATTCTCCATACCCTGGAGTTAACTTTTTTAAAGATACTTAGTTTTTCCCATTGTCCACAGGGTTGTGAATAGACAATTCTGCCTCCCCTTTCACCCCATTCCCATCACATAACACAAATTCAACTCCTTTATTTTTCATAATCAGTACAGATTTAACCCAACTCAGAAACTACTAGAAAAGGAGAAAAGGAAGAAAGACTCTTAAGGAGTTAAGACTGATGCTGAATTCAGATACTGAGAGTGGTTTTAATTTTTTAAAATATATTATTGATGAATGGCTCAAGCACTGAATTTACCTTGAGTAGATGTTATCATCGAGGGTTTGGAGTCACTCTTTCTGATAGGCATGTCTCCAGTTATGTCATCCACAAGAAGCAATGACCTGTTATAATTCCCACCCTGAAAGAGAACAAATTTTTAAACAAAAATGTCACCCTTGCTTTCATGTGTAACCTAGGCACAGGTACAAGTCCTAGAACTCCCTTGCTGTCTGTAGTTAAGTTGTAACAGGTGTTCCTCAGTTCTCTAGTGAAGCTACACAGAAATTCCTTTGGTTGATTTAGATCACTCTGATCTAAATAGGCAAGTGTTTTGTTATTTTTCTTTACAATGTTTTCATTGTATAAATTGTTCTATATGGAATGATTTTAGTGCCCCCTGGAAGGTATTCCTGGTTCTCAAAATAATGCCTTCTCACATGGACTGGTTTCTGAATTTCTACAACCAGTTTCATTCCTTTGATTTAAGATATTAAGCCCTACTAAAATACAAATACCCAAGATAAGTAAGGACATTTTAAAAGTGTTCTCAAATGAGTTCAAGCATAAATTACATTCTAAGGTAAGAACTTGTGGGAATGATTGCTAATATAGTTCTGATCTCTGAAAGAATAAAGGCAAATTTTCAATAGTGATGATATCATTTTAAATTGACTGGCATACTTTAGGGATACTGAGTCTGTGGAGAGATTTAAGTTTGCTATGTTTTTATTAGCAAATGAATATTCTTAGAATTAGAAACAAACTGCCATGAAAACTGGGTAAAAAAAAATAAACTTTACATTGCTTTTAAAGGTAAACTAGCCACTGAAGTTCATTAAATTACTCTATCTCACCACCTGAAGGGCATATGATTGTTAGTATTAGGTAGGTGACCAAATCTGGAGCTGGGATCATTTTAAACCCTGTGCTATGGGCAGTATTGGAAGGACAGAATGTAGTTCTCTAACATTTAGGCACCCACCAAATGGTTCTGGAGAATCCTAGTGTGTGCCCATCCCAACCCACACAGCTGAACCTGAAAGCCACATGGTCTTGACATGTGGACTGCACTGGCAGATCAGGCATTCATTCATTCATTCAGTTATTTTGCCAAATCCCCTAAAACCAAGGACTTGCTCTAAGTACAGATATGGACAGTGATGACTATAAGGAAATGAAATAAGTTAATTTTTTTGCTCTTCCAGCTTCCTCTACCCGGTCTCCTTTGCTCCCTACTCCCATTCAGATGCCTTGCCTTCTCCATCATCTCTCTTTCCTTCCTTTTCTATCAAAAATCTGTTCTCAAAAAAAGTGTAAATGGTGAAATAGTATGTGACTTTGGGCAATAACTTCACCTCTTTGGATCTCATGTTTGTTGCCTGAAAAATAAGGATATTGAACTAGAAGATGTCTAGGTCCTTTCCAGTCAGTGGCAAGCTGATAAATGTCTAACAAACAGAGCTCCAAAGACCCACAACACTCTCTTAAGTTTAATCTGCATTATTAACATTTTCTCTATTGACTTCCTTAAGTCTAGAAAATCGATAAGACAATAAATCAATACACATATACATATATATAAGCTATATCAAATTGCTTACCATCTTAGGGAGGGGGCAAGGAAGAAAGGGAGAGAGAAAATTTGGAATTCAAAATTTTATAAAAAGTGAATGTTAAAAATTGTCTTTATATGTAATCTGGAAAAGATAAAATACTATTTTAAAAAAGACAAAGAATCAAGCCCTGATTTGCAGCATTTGCCTATTTTCTAGATGTAAATGTTCACCCTGAAAATTTAACTATCTGCTCTGGCAGGTAAGAGCTAGTTCTAGCATACCTCAGCTTCTAGCTGTATCATGCTATGTTCCAATGACTGATAAGGTTTCATGTATTGCCTTTCCCAGAATCAGAATATTTTAAAATTAGAAGGAATGTCAATCTAATCTGTACCTGGCCAAACCACTCCTGATTTGTACTTGTGAAATTTATTTTTAACTCAGTTATAGGACTTTACGTTTATTTTCTACATTAATTTACACAATTATAATGGCATAATTTGTAATATAATTGTAATAAAAATAAATATAACTGTTTATTAAATTACATCTTATTAGATTCAGTCCATCATTTTAGCCTTTTGAACTCATCTTGGATCCTGATTATTGCTCAACATGTTAACTATTTTTCCCAGGTTTGGGCCATCTGCAGATTTGATAAATATCCCTTCAAGGTCTTCATTCAAAACATTAATAAAAATGTTGACCCGAACAAGGCCAAGGTCAGATCTTGGAGGCATTCCAATAGAGACCTTTCTCCAAGTTTATATTGGGCCATTAATGAGTATTCTTTGGGTTTAGTCATTCAACCAGTTTCAAATCCACATAATTATACTATTGTCTGTCCCACAGTTTACTATCTTGTCTACTAAGATGGCATGAAACTTTTTCAAATGCTTTGCTGAAATCGAGGCAAACTATGTCTGTAATTTTATCATTCTAATAGCTTTGTCAAAGGAAATTAGTTTAGTCTGGCATGACCTATTCTTTTTTTTTTTTTTTTTGCAATTGGGGTTAAGTGACTTGCCCAGGGTCACACAACTAGTGAGTTATATGTGTCTGGGGCCAGATTTGAACTCAGGTCCTCCTGACTCCAGGACTGGTGCTTTATCCACTGCGCCACCTACCTGCCCCCTGGCATGACCTATTCTTGGCAAAAACATGTAATCATTACTTTCCTTTGTAGCTATTCACAAACCAAACTTTATTAATGGATTCTAGAATTTTGCCAAAAATTAAATTTTGTTAACTTGCATGCTTTGTAGGTTCGATTCTTCCTTTTATTTGAGAGGAAGAGATTAAAAAAAAGAAAAAAAAACCCCGAAGTCATTTGTCTTCTACTCCCATTCTCCAAGATCTTTCAGAGACCAGAACTATATTAGCAATCATTCCCACAATGATAAATACCTTAGGATGTAATTTATGCTTGAACTCATTTGAGAACACTTTTAAAATCTCCTTACTTATCTTGGGTATTTGTATTTTAATAGGGCTTAATATCTTAAATCAAAGGAATGAAACTCTGGTTGTAGAAATTTAGAAACCAGTCCATGTGGGAAGGCATTATATTGAGAACTATGAATACTTTCCAGGGGGCACTGAAATCATCCCATATAGAACAATTTATACAATGATAACATTATAAAGAAAAATAATTTTGAAAGACTTTAGAATTCTGATCATTGAAATGACAAATTTCAAAATATAAAAGGTGAAGCATGCTGCCTGCCTCCTGATAGCAGAGTCCTGGTGGACTCAAAACACAGAATAAGACATATATTTTTGGGTATGGCCAATGAGAGAATTTGCTTTGCTTGACTATAAAGATTTGTCATTAGGTTTTTTTTTTTCTTTTTCTTTTTTGTTGTTGTTTAATTAGAGAGGTGAGGGGAGAACTGGGCAAGAGAGAAAAAAATGCTTATTTTAGTTAGAAAAAAATTTTTAATTTAGTTTTAAAAATAATTTTAAAAAATAAGTTAGCAAGAGGACATACTCATCATCATTATCTTTTAAAAAAGGCCACCATTTTTTAACCCTGCACGAAGTCTTTCTGGAGCTTCCAATTGCAAATACCCTCACTCTTCAAATACTTTGTGTTTAATTACTTTGCTTATATTTGTATTTGTTCATTTGATATTTATGCTATATATATATATATTTTAGATATACTCATCTACCCAATTAAAATGTAAGCTGTTTCCAAGCAGGGACTGTTTCATTCATTGTTCTTGTAGCCCCAGCACCTAGTACAATGCCTGGGACATGGTAGCCCCTTAAGAAATACTTACTGGGGGGCAGCTAGGTGACGCAGTGGATAGAGCTCTGGCCTTGGAGTCAGGAGTACCTGAGTTTGAATCTGGCCTCAGACACTTGACATTTACTGGCTGTGTGACCCTGGGCAAGTCACTTCACCCCATTGCCTCATCAAAAAAGTGGAAAAAAAAATACTTATTGGTTGATGTAAATAGAAGATCTTAAGCAATTTAAGTGTGTTTGGGATGAAACCTTCCCTAAAAGTCCTCTTCCCATGACTCATTATACTGTCAAGGTGACCCTAGTCATTTCTCAAAGGCTTCATCGTCATAGCAAAAGCTCTTACAGGTGCTACTCAGCTGGAAAGGCTTTTAGGATTGCCCAGTAGTAGACTGGGGTTCCTATTGTTCTAGGACCAGCCTTTATATGTTCAGAGAGACCAGCCAAATGCTTATTGACCAGATGATGAATTTTTTCCCTACAATGTCTCATAAAAACTGTGTACTATGATATGAAAGGGCTGAGGTCTGGTGTAGTGAGTAGTCATCTATAAACTCATAAATAGTTGAAAGAAAAAATGAAAATACAAAACTTTCCAGTGTCAAGCATGAGCAATTGTTCTTAGCATGCAGATTGAGTAAGGGGAATAGGGTTTAGGTCAGCCAGGTAAAGTGATGATTTGTAAAGAAGGAAAAGATAAGTAATGAGCAAATTGTGAAATAACTAAGAGACTTTTTTTTTCTTTTCTTTTAATCAAATTGTGCTTTCAGAAATATAGAAATGAGTTAATGCAGAGTGGAGGAACTCGGGTACAGGTTCTTTTACCTTTTTTTTTATTACAGACTTCTTTGACAATCTGGTGAAGCCTTTGGACCCCTTCTCAGAAAAATGTTTTTAAATGTAAAAAACAAGACACACAAGGTTACAAAAGAAACCAATTATAATTATTAAAATATTTTTAAACCATCAGGAAGCATTATCTGTAATGGGGCTAAGCTAGAAGCCTTTCCAATAAGATCAGAGGTGAAACAAGGGTGTCCATTATCACCATTATTATTCAATATTGTTCTAGAAATATTAGTTAGCTTTAGCAATAAGAGAAGAAAAAGAAATTGAAGGAATTAGAATAGGCAATGAGGAAACAAAGCTATCACTCTTTGCAGATGATATGATGGTATACTTAAAGAATCCTAGAGAATCAACTAAAAAAACTGCTTGAAATAATTAACAACTTTAGCAAAGTTGCAAAATATAAAATAAACCCACATAAATCATCAGCATTTCTACACATTATCAACAAAGCCCAGCAGCAAGAGATAGAAAGAGAAAT